TAAGAATTTGTAAATTATGCGTGCGGTATGTGTAATATATGCGATTTGCTGATGATTAAAATTTAAAAGTGCGATTTAGTGTTTTTTGCTCGTAAAAGAAACTTGCGATTTTTTAAATACTGCGCTCAACTAGCAAATTTTTTAATCGGAGAATAAATTAATACACAATTTTTTTATCGGAAAAAAATATAAATATGATGTAAAATTATGCGATTTAGTGTGATTTGGTTTAATCACACTAAATCACACAATTTCCGTGTCCCTGGCTTGCAGGCAACCCCATTTGCGACAGTAATAATAATTGTTTGGTCATTTTTTCTGCATAATTTTGCGGATTTTGGTGCAGTTGAATTGATATTTTTTTGGTTACCAAGGCATATCAAGGCATATTAAATCGGGCCTACAATAACCTAAACTCAGGCGACTGACCATTCAGAATTTAATAAACATATCGATATTACGTGTTGGGACAATGACAAAATTCGCATGACCAACCGCAATGTAACAAATTAAGCACAGTAATTGAGTATACAAACTACGTAGGACACATATCCCAAACCGTAGAAAGAAAAAAGTAAATTTGAAACTGTCTGTTTTCAAATGATGACCATTATGATTGGTTACAAAATAATCGTTCTTCTGGAAAACAATTGATAATCCTGGTCACATAAATATGGAAGTCAAATAGAATAATGCTAGATGTAGCTAATTTATATATAAATACGTACGATTGAACAAATATACAGTAAGCAATTTCTTGTTGCTCAAATATAATGAGTACCACTCAAGTTTTATAGAGTATATATTTGATAAAATGCGCTAAAACAACTATTTTTATTATTTTAGACCGGTGTAGGAGTAATTTTAGAAAATACTGGACTATCTTAAATATCCGATCTATCTATTAACAGTTAACACTTTTATTCAAACGTTAATTATTTGAAATCTGAATTGAAGATTGATTAACATTGACTATAATAGGAATTTTTTACTACGTATTCAGGTTTCTGAATGAGCTATAAGCCAGCTTCGAACATAGTACCGTTGAAGTTCAAGGATGGTTGGATATCAAACATTAGATTAACCGGAGTTGATTCTGCCCGTTTCGGTAATAAATATTAACCCGCAGATTACTAAGATTTGTCTGCCAAATATAAATTGATTTTTAATGTTATTTTGAATAATAAACTATATTTAGCAGGAAAGTCACTGGTTTAATTTTGAGGCTGTAGTTAATTCCTTAAACTTTCTAATCGATGTTAATAACAATATTTTTGTCACAACAATAAAGGTAACTAATTAATGTTAATGATTGGTTCTACTTTAAATGATTTCTATCACGTGAAAATAAAACGGTTACATTCAAAAAATGCCAAACAAAATATATACTAAATAATGCGATCTAAATATAAACAAATAATTGTCTAAATTTTATTCATAAATTTTCATGAGTTTGCAAATTAGGTATATATTATAATTTATGCACCAATGAAAGGTTGTGTTTCGTGCCACGTTATATGTTTATTAAAAATTCTGCAGGTTCAACCGTTTTCACTTCGAACAAGATGGCTGCCAATTTATTCACTCGCCTTTCTCGAGACTTTGGTGAATTATTGGAATCTTCATTTAATCATGATGTTGTTATTCAAGTAGGTGAAATCCCTCATGTTACGGAATTTCATGTACACTCTATTATTCTTGCTACACGGTCTCCTTACTTTCGTTCGGCTTTATCTGATAAATGGGTTATAAGACAAGAAAATGGCTTGATTACCTTTAAAAAACCAAATATTTCTTCAAAAATATTTAAACTTGTATTAAAGTATGTTATTTTTTTATGTTAATCTTTTTTTATTTGTTTTTACTTTTATGATATTATACTCTCATATATATATATATATATATATATATTTTCGTAAATTATTAGTTACATTTATACTGGTGCAATTAGCTTGGAGAATAAAGAATTATCTGAAATATTAGAATTTTTCATTGCTTCAGATGAATTATTACTTGACGAAATTATGGTATATATCCAAGAATATCTTCTTAAAAATGATGATATTTGGGCAACAACAAAAAATTCGGTCAAAGTTCTTCATATGCTCTTTCATTATGATAGTTTAATGAAACTTAAGGATTACTATTTGAAAATAATTTGTAATAATCCTAAACTTTTATTTGAATCAAATGATTTTTTCTCTTTAAAAGATGATATTTTGATTTTTCTTCTCAAATTGGATGATCTTGATATAAAAGAAGTTGAACTCTGGGATTATACTCTTCAATGGGGAATTGCTCAATCTTCTACTTTAAAAGATAAAGAATTGGAAGAGATGACAAAAACAGATTTCTTGATTTTAAAAGAAATTTTAATAGAAATTATTCCTTTGATTAGATTTTTCCAAATGTCTGGTGATGATATTGCAAATTTTGTATATCCTTACAAAAAAATCATGCCAAAACCTTTGAAGAATGATATAGTAAATTATTTTATGGCATCTAGTTATCGACCAAAATCTAACGTTCTTCCTCCTCGTGCCAATAAAAAATATTCTACAATTATATCAACTCGTCATGTTTCCCTAATTGAAGGTTGGATAAGTCATGATACCGCTAGTCAATTAAATCAACAAAAATCTGTGAGGCCTTGTTTTAGTTGGAATTTGCTTTATCGTGCAACTGAAGATGGTTTTAATGCTGTTGATTTTCATAGAAAATGTGATAATAAAGGTGCATGTGTAGTTATAGTTAAAATTCAGGACTCTGATAAAATAGTTGGTGGTTATAATCCTGTCGGATGGATGCTTCCTAATGGATATACAGCGACTGACAAAAGTTTTTTATTTTACTTTGATAATTCTACTTCAAAGATAAGTCGTATCCTTCCTGATTGTTCTGTTAGTGCCATATTTCAAAATTCTTCTTATGGACCCACTTTCGGATATCCTGATTTATTTATATCATCAAATTGTAATCAAACTAATAGTTCAGATTGTAATTGTAATCATTATTATGAAAAGAATTTTAGCGTGACCGATTTTTTTGTTGAAGATTATGAAGTTTTTCAGATAACATCAAAAAATTAAAAAATTATTATTTCACTTACTATATTATTAAACATTTTACCTATGTATTTATTACTTGTATTTATTTGTTCAATAATTTATCAATAATATGTATGAATATTACTACAAATTATAATAAATAATACCAATATAGTTTTTTGCTAAAATTTACCAAGATAGGGAGTTATATAAATTTTAGTTAGCAGAAGGTTTTCGAGGTTCTGAACATAATCACCAGTGGTGATAAATAAAAATTCAATATATATATTTATATATATATCTATATATATATTTTCCAGTGATTTTATGAGTGCATTTCTGTCATTACCATTTCATCTTGCAAATTTTCTATATGATTTAAAAATTTTTTACATCAAGTTTTGTGCTTGCTTTTTTATCACTGCTCTAATGCATAAATATTTAATTTCAAGATTC